CTTGTCGCCCAGGCTGGAGTGCAATGGCAGAGCCAAGATCTTGCAACCTCCGCCTCCTGAGTTCAAGCGATTCTCCTGCCTCAGCCTCCCGAGTAGCTGAGATTACAGGTGCCCGCCACCATGCTCAGCTAATTTTTGTATTTTTAGTACAGATGGGGTTTCACTATCTCTTTTTTTTTTTCCTGAGATGGAGACACTCTTGTCATCTCAGCTGGAGTACAATGGCATGATCTTGGCTCACTGCAACCTCCACTCCCGGGTTCAGGCGATTTTCCTGCCTCAGCCTCCCGAGTAGCTGGGATTACCGGCACCTGCCACCATGCTTGGCTAATTTTTGTATTTTTAGTAGAGATGGGGTTTTGCCATCTCTGTTGGCCAGGCTAGTCTCAAACTCCTGACCTCAGGTGATCAGCCCACCTCAGTCTCCCTAAGTGCTGGGATTACAGGCGTGAGCCACCACACCTGGCTTCTTTTCCTTATTTTAAATCATTATTTTCTTCTATAGAATTAAGGCTGGATGTTCCCTTTTCTCAGGAGGTTGGGCCAAATGCAGTTGTCTGAACTTGTCAAGAACCTTCCAGGCTGGGCGCGGTGGCTCACACCTGTAATCTCAACACTTTGGGAGGCTGAGGTGGGAGGATCCCTTGAGCTCAGGAGTTTGAGAGCAGCCTGGGTAATATAGTGAGACCTCATCTCTGCTTATATAAAAATAAAATAAAATAAAAAAGGAATTTTCCAAATCTTCCCAAGAAAAGAAAACAGAGCTTAGAGAGAAGCACATGGGTGCAGAAACTTCCCTGAGAACAGAAAGAGGTTCAAATTCTCACAGCACCCAGTGCCAGCAAGGGGCTCAGGGGACAGGATCTCAGAGGAGAATGGCCTGCAGGGGCCCCCTGCAATTGGAACCATGCCTTTCAACAGTGAGCCTGTCAGCAAGCGACAGCAGGGACTTGAGACCAGAGGACCACCTCCCAAATGCCTCAGACTCCTTAGGACCTCTGTCTAACTCTGGAGGGTGGGAGGAAGGGATTCCTAAGTGTGACTAAGGTGGAGTTTGCCACCATCTGCTCAGGATGGGGCATGTCACATCCATGATTTCATTTGATTTTTCCAAATTTAAAAAAACGGAGATGGTTGCCGATCCCTTATATAGTGAATTAAAATTCATACTACACTTGTTTTTTTTTTTTTTTTTCTCAGACGGAGTCTCGCTCTGTCGCCCAGACTGGAGCCCAAGCTCCGCCTCCCGGGTTTACGCCATTCTCCTGCCCCAGCCTCCCGAGTAGCTGGGACTACAGGCACCCGCCACCTCGCCCGGCTAGTTTTTTTGTATTTTTTAGTAGAGACAGGGTTTCACCGTGTTAGCCAGGATGGTCTCGATCTCCTGACCTCGTGATCCGCCCGTCTCGGCCTCCCAAAGTGTTGGGATTACAGGCTTGAGCCACCGCACCCGGCCCATACTACACTTGTTATGCACACACACGTACAAGGAAATGTACAGACCAGGACACATACACAGCACAAAAGCTTCAGGCAGTTACAAATGCTCAGACAAGCAGAACAATTCACACTCATGCACACAAAGGGCACATGACCACAGGTAAACTCACAATCACCCAAACCACACAAAAACATATGCTTAGAGGGCAGATACACGCCAAACACACACTTAAAAGACACAAGGACACAACAAACCCTCAGATTACACAGGCAAATACCTTAATTACATAAAATTACCCACACACAAAGAGTTGTTTATAAACACACGCTGAACACCAACACACAAACTCACATCCACATATAACATACAAAGACCTACAGAAACTACAACAGAAAGGCACAGGTCAGTTACACACACACACACACGCGCGTCATCCACAGGAGTGCCTACAGAGAAGCTCAAGTGGAATGCACAGGCTACAGGCTCTTGCAGGCCCAGCAGCTATGATGGTGGGGGTGGGGAGAGGGCTGACACCATCTTGTTCCCCAGCCTAGGAGAGAGCGGGGCCCTCTCCTGGGGTCCCAAATAGGGGTACCTATTTGGGGAGCACCTATCCCCTCTGAGGGAGGTTGGAGAACAAGCTCCTGGTTAGACCCAGCTGCTGAGAGCTGGCCCCTGAACCCAACTTCCATGCCCACCCACAAGCTTGGGTGCATGCCCCCACCCGCCAGCCCAGCCCATACCGTGCTGAAGTTGGGGAAGAGACTGAGCGGGGCAGCGCCATTGAAGTGGAAGGCGAGCAAGTGCTTGAAGTCCAGCGGGGGCTGCAGAGGCCGGGTGGGCAGGGGCAGGGAGGCCAGCAGGGGGCTGGGGGCGCTGGAGGCCGGGCCTGCTGCAGGAGGAAGAAGGGCACGGTCTGAAATGGGCTCTCTCCTACCTCTGTAGCCAGAACAAGAGGCGGATGGGCTCCCTGGGTGTGGAGCTGGGCAGAAACCTGTATCTCTCTTCACAGAGTGGCACCAGCCAGACCCAGGGTGATTACAGCCCCCTTCCCTGTGCCCTTCCTTCCCACAGCTGGGGAAGCAGAGGCAGGGAGTCCACAGTTGGAGGCTCCCAGCCCAGAGGGATGACCCTCCCGCCCCTACTGAGGCAGCATACTGAACCCCAGGGCAGCCCAGCCAAGAGAGGGATAGAGGGGTCTGGGCAGGCCCCTGTCACACACCACCATGGAGACTGCATGATGTGCTGGGATTCCATTTTATTGCAAATTAAACTCAAACCCAGGGGTATTAGGGAGAGGCCAGCTCTGGCCCCTGTCACTGTCTAACTATCCTCCCTCCCTCCAGATCCCCAGGCTTTCACAGCCAGGGCTGACAGGAGGGAATGGGAAACCCATGGGCTCTGAAGGGATGTGTTCCCCAGCTCTGGTGAGGTCTAAACTGCTTCCCCCAGGAGGCAAATAAGCCAGCGTCCCTGGGTTGGGCCTTGAGGCCAGTCCTCGGAGGCGGCAGGTACAGCACTGGATTTGCAGTCTTTGGTCTTAAAGGTCTGAGGCAAGGGCAGGGGAGGGGTAGGAACTTGGAGAGCAACTGGACTTTGAGGAATAAAAAATTAGAAAAAATAAATAAATCCAGCCCATCTGGGGCATTTTTGGACCCTGTCATTGCAAAACCAAAAGTAGTCCTTTTAGATGTTTGTGTGGTAACACTATGAAAGATAGCATAGGTTTATTTCACATTTGTAGGTTTTATGTCTATATACACAGTTATACACAGAAAAGGCCTGAGGCAGCCCACTGGTGAGGAGGGGAGGAAGGGAAACACTGTCTCCCCGGAACCATTGGCCCTTGAACCACCAGCTTGGGTACAGAGAGGACACTGTGCTGTGTGTCAGAAACAAGCACGGTCATCTACTCCCCAGTCATAGCTGAAGAGAAGAGACACTGCCGGGAGTGGGACTAAGAAACAGCCAAGGGCAGGGCGCGGTGGCTCACGCCTGTAATCCTAGCATTTTGGGAGGCCGAGGCAGGTGGATTGCTTGAGGTGAGGAGTTCGAGACTAGCCTGGCCAACATGGTGGAACCCCGTCTCTACTAAAAATATAAAAATTAGCCCGGTGTGGTGGTGGGCGCCAGTAATCCCAGCTACTCGGGAGGCTGAGGCAGGAGAATTGCTTGAACCCAGGAGGCAGAGGTTGCAGTGAGCCGAGATTGTGCCAGTGCAGTCCAGCCTGGACGACAGAGCAAGACTCCATCTCAAAAAAAAAAAAAAGAAAGAAAGAAAAAGAAAGAAACAGCCAAGGACCAGTGTCCGTTCCCTCAGTCACTCAATTCCCAAGACCTAGTTTTCCTCCCCCAAGCCAAGAACTCCCATATTTCTGGGGGGAGCCCAAACTTGGGCCGAATCCAGAAGGAAAAAGGGTGAGCTACTCCTCATCTAACTGTGTAAAGGCCAGGAATGATTTAGGGTGCCCCAGATCCTAGCATCTCTGCCCACCCACCCAGGCCCCTCTTGAACCAGTCCCTTCCTCCACAGCCTACAGGGTGGGGTTGGTGGGAAGCTCCAGAAGGGTGGGTGGGTGGCCTCAGGCCCCTGGGAGGCCACAGTCAGCAGATCACCTTGGGTGCAGCATGGTCAAGTCTAGGTTGGCCCTAAGGGCCCCAGGCTGGCTGGGCCGAGAGAAGGAGGCCACCCTCAGGTGAGCTGCGACCCCAGGAAGCCCTCTCCCCACCCACTCTCTAAGAACTCCACAGCCAACCCAAAGTCAAACTCGTGCAGCGGGGGCCCATCCACTGCGATCTTCACCACGTGGCCCCCCCGGCCTTCCCCGACCCCGCTCTGCCC